ACTGGGGTTCCACATCCCTTAGAGGTATAGAGATGTAAGGAGCGATGAAGTGGCCCGCTTGTCAACCAACTTTGCTGTTGTTAGGCTATGTCGAAAAACTTTGCTGCCTTGGAGTTCATTGCAAGCCGATTTCGCCGCGATGGCTCCCAAGCTGCAATTTCATCTTGACATCAGTGGCTTTAACAGATCCACAACAAGCATAAGTCTGGGTTTAAACTATTGTAGACCTAACTTTCTGCTTCCAAGATTGAGTCAAACCGACACAAACCTAACGGCTCTCAGTGATATGGCTCTGCCGCGGTGGTGGAGCTGCTTTAAAACAGAACTAGAAAGTCGCAAAGAAGTCGCCTTCGGCCATTCCAAACCTCGCATACAGGAGTCTCAAGGAACCACCTTCAACCCAAAGCAAACAGCCAAACAAAGCAGGGTTTAGGGCTTAGGGTAGGGTTTGGGGTTTAGGGTTTCGGTCAAAGAGGGCGGCCGCATGGGAATCATACTATTGGCTGGAAAGAATCTGGTCGACGATGCACCTCTCACGTGACTTCAAATAGTAGTTTCCATTTTCTTTTCCATTAATTATCCCAATATAACCCCAATATAATCCCTATACAACCCCAATATAACCCCAATATAGCCCCAATATAATCCAGGACGAATCATGTCCTTGTGGCTGTCCATGGCGCTGCAGAAGGCAAACCAGAGATTAGAAACTTGATGGCTTCGATGGTTTAGGGTTTAGGGTTTAGGCTGGTGACAAATATTAGGATTCGGATTATTAGGGTAATATTTTGGTTATACTGGGATAATGGAGAATCAAATGGAAAAGAACATGGAATGAAAGCTGGAGTAATATCTTCTAAGCTCGGCATGTGTGAGGGGATGGGTGAGTGTTGCTTTCCAGGAAGTTCTCTGGTTTCCCCTAATTATGTCCAATTATGCATGTTTTTTGGTGTCCCTGGCCCACACCGATAGTGGCCGGTCATCCTGCCCTCATGCAACCCAATAGCGAGCGAGCCAAGGAGAACAAGTTCGAGAAACATTGGAACAAGGCCAGCCGGCCAAACGCGCCCAGAAAGCGAGCAGCTTGGCGATATGAGTACCCAGATCTTCAAATCTGATGTGAAGTATCTAGACTCCTTCCACTCCTGCGCGTGGCGATGGTCTCTATCTCTCATGTGATATGGGCCCGCCATGCGCAGAGCTAAGGTACGAGCGCAAGAGACGGAGACCGTGAATATGGACAGGGTGGTACCCATTGCGGCCCTATGCGTGGAATGTGGGAGCAGGTGCATAACGTCAACAGGGAACAGAAAGCAACTCAACAAATTCCTTTCGGGCTCCTTTCAGTTTTTGATATCTGCGTTCCGCAAACCCCAGATTAGTGCAGCTTCGCCGTAGAGTACAATTCCTTCAGCAACTTGTGCAACCTTGGAAGCATTATATCCTCATTTGCATTGGCATGGGTTGCGTAGGGGTTATATAGGGATTATTGTTAGCTTGCGTCAACAACACTTAAAGTAATGCATCTGTGCCATTTTGGGTCAAGGTCTGAAAAATTTTGGAGGTCAGGTAGCTGCCAGGGATCATGTCGTGGGACTCCTCAGTGCTGCACATCCAGTCAGTGCTACGTAGCCTGGTCAGGGGTGACCCCGACGCAGTTATACAGGCGGCCTCAGGTCTGGAGACAGGTGAGCTGCAGCGAATGAGGCATCTTATGGACCTAGCACTTCAGTGGAAGGAGCAGCCGGACTCCAGTGGACTGGTAGACTGTGGGCTAGAGCCGTTGCAGCAGGATCTTGCTCAGGCCTCGCAGGTGAGCACAGGAGTTCCAGACAGAGAAGGCGCGGCACCGCCAGTGAAGGAGCCTCCGCCTCGTCCCTCCTCGACCTCCTCGACCTTAGCTTCGCCCTCAGGTTTGCCACAGGCGCCTCCAGGAGCCCCGCCGGCCAAGAGCCCAACAGTTCAGCCACCACCTTCAGGCTATGCACAGGGCAACTTGGTCGTGGTAGCCTTCGACCTCGGCAGGTTCGTCAGGACAGGTGGCTTCAGCTTCGCAGGCGTCGCAGGATCCTTGGAGAGGATGGCATCCAGGTCTGTTAGGCAGGGGAGACACCTCGGCTAACCCTGTTCCAACCCTTAGTGAGGAAGGGCGTAGGCGTTCTAGACTTAGCGCACAGGGTCTTCAGCCTGGCACTCCAGTTTTTGACTACGGCCAGGCCACAGGCACAGGCAGGCCCATGCGTCCAGATCCGGATATCAGGGACCTTATGCCGAGTGCCTTGGAGAGGCTCGGGCCTGAGGCTTGGAACTACATAGGTTGGTTAGGGCACTCAGGCAGTTTGCCGCCCATCCACGGCATGGCTGACATGCCTAAACTCAGGGAGAGAAGGGCTCGTACACTAGCAAAATCACTCCGTATGCGCAACTTCTCCTTGAGTGGCTACTGCCTTTTAGAGTGCAGCTCAGGATGCTCCTTTGCTTGTTCCAGGCCAGTCTCTACAGACGGCCGCGGCACACACTCAAAACATGAGTGTACAGAGTGCCATGGCGACGACTAAGGTCATAGGCACTCAGTCCGCCAGGTTCCTCATCAGCTTCAGGTTTTTCAGGCAAAAGCAGGCCAGGGTCTCAGGTTTCCAGCCAAGGTATAGCCAAGTTGCTCTCAGGGTCTCTGGCCTGCCAACCTGCTTCTTGGACTTCCCTGTGCCGTAAGAGCCTAGGATGTCCTGCCAGGATAGCCTCGGTCAGGACACAGACGCTTCGCAGTGAAAAGCTTCAGTGAGTGCAGCTTGAAGTGATGGCATGTAGAGCAGCATGGCAGCAAACCACCAGGCTGCTACGAGATTGGCTCAGACAGGGTGGGGCCTCAGGGTCCTTTACTCCAGCGTTGCGCCCTCAGTGTTGTGAACTCGGTAATCGTGTATTTCCTGTGTTTGAGTGAGGCAGCCCCCCGCCAATAGGGACTGGACAGAGCCTCCGGAGGCAGGAGGTGCACGTGGCTTGAGCCGGCCTCTACCTGGCAATGCCAGGTCAGACAAGACCACGCTTGGATGTGGCAAGCTCAGCCCAGGCTAGAAAGTTAAGCTGCACACCTGCCTTGTGGTAGGTCTAGCCTTGTGGCACTGGCACCCCCCTGCCGACTGAGGAGGCTGGAGCCCGCCCCCCCCAACGCAGTTGGTTGCAGCAGACTTGCTGTGGCTTGAGCCGCGCCAGGTCCAACCTTCTGCTCAGCCTGCCATGCAGCAGGACAGCAGCACGGCCCGGCTCGTGTCTGCAGGCAGCAGCCAGGTTGGCCCAGTGCTGGTCCGCAAATAGCCCAGCTTGAGCTCGGCCAGGTCGAACAGTGCAGCGTCAGGGAGCAGCAGGAGCAGGTGCATGAGTTCAACACATCAGTTGCAGGAGACATGTGCGGGATCTCTGACTCGTCCGTGACCTTTGCTGAGCGTTGCAAGCGTTATGGCTTGGCCCAAGCCAACATTGATGATCTGGTTCAGCGAGGCATTTCTACCTATGGTCAGCTTCTCTTCAGGGTGGCTTCAGGGCCAAGTTAGGTAGATGATGGCAAGCTGAATGACCTCATCAGTGCTTGCAACCCCAACCTGAATGAATCAGGCAAGAGTGCCCTTAAAAGGTTAGTGTTCGAGGCAGGCACTTTTGTGGTCGCCGAGTTAAAGGATGCCATCAGCTCGCCAGGTGTTGGAGGAGTCAAACGCCTCACGCCTCAGGAAAGGGACTCCAGATTCAACGCTATACAGGCCAAGTTAGGAAGTTTCCTGTTGTCAGGGCCGTATGAACCAGCTCATGCTTTGGTCGACTCATGTTCGAGTATGGCGTCGGCCCAATGCATCACGTACATTCCTCCCAGTAAGTGTGCCTCCAGGGAACAAGAGGTTGCATCAGGGAGGAAGGAAGAACACCTCTTGCGCCTTGAGCATGCGGCCCTCAAGTTGGCCAGCAAGGCACAACCACTTAAAGTGGATGTGAGTTCCGAGCTCAGGGTGTCCCAGGCGTTGACGAGGCGCGGAGTGGCACTAGAGATGGCCGGTGTGTGCTCTTTCCAAGAACATGAGGCGTACTCCAGGAGCCTTCTAGCACACATTCACAGGCAGCCCCCTGCAGGCTACCAGGCTCCGACGCTTGATCAGCTCTTCAGGGCTGATCGTGAGGTCTGGGTGCGCATCAGTGAAGTCGTTCGCCATCAGTTCGCAGGTACGCTAGGCACGACCCCAGTTGATGATGCCATCAAGATTGTTAAGGACTCAGCCCAGGTTCTGTTCCACTTGCGCCATGCCTTTGCCGCCCAAGCCTGATAAAGCAGCAGCCTTGCAGTCAGGGCTTTTGGTCAGCCATTCAGGATGGCAAAGGAAAAGCCAGGACAGACAAAGGCAAGGGCAAGGGCAAAGGCAAAAACAAGGGCAAGGGCAAGGGTTTCACTAAGGTGCAGACAAATGTTCCAGCGGCACTCAAGAGCATGGACCCCAACATGAACGGGGAACCGATATGTTTCGATTATAGTCTCCCTCACGGGTGCCAATTGGAGACATGGGACACACCGCTTGGCCAGGCATGTCGCAAAGGACTCCATGTCTGCATGAAATGTCATGGAGGGCATTCCGCCAGTGGATGTGACAAATAGGATTCGGGGCGGAGTGACCAAGAGAGCCCCGGCCCCGCTCACTCAGGCACTCAGACGCCCGCAGTCCCTTCTAAGGTCGACTCAGCTTCCTGTGCTAGGGCAATGCCCCAGCATCAGGTTGCCATGCACGATTCCTGGGCTGGTGCTTCACTCAGTGCGTCTGTTCAGCCAGCTCAGGGTCAGTGTAGTGAGTCAGCTCAGGGCCATTTCATTTCTCCAGTTCCTGCATTGGGCGATGCGCCCAGTTTTCGCGTGTCAGACCCCCAGACTGAGGGCAGCGCGTTGCGCGCGCAAGGTACCGACCTCAGCTCGAGCGCAAGTTGGCAGCCAGCTTTGTCACAGGAATCAGGCGACCAGGGTCAGGTAGACTCAGGCCGGCGGGGTATAGTTCAGGGCGACTCCGTCAGTCAAGGCACTAATAATGTTGCACCAAATTTGCAGAGCACACCCACAAATGAAACCAGTGCCCAAGAGCCCGTTGAAGGCAAAACAGCCATACCTGTCGAGGAAGCTCTGTTCATCGAACTGTTTGCGGGATCGGCCAACCTCAGCAAAGCATTCAGGTCAGTAGGAATGCAGGTGATCCCAGTGGACACAAAGGATGCGCCACAGGTAAAAATTGTCAAGCTCAATCTACTGTTGGAGACCAGGAATGTCATCA